GTTAAGAGGAAATTAGTTGGTATGCGCTGTAGAGCTGGTGCGAGGAATAACTTGAACGACTTGTAAATTTTCACAACTATTAAATTTTTCGCAATTTTTTCGTCTTTATTTTCATTCTTTTCTCTGAGTACCGACTATATGGCGAATATTTATTGAGTTACTGAGTCATATTTTTTTTTTAGAAGTGAGTCTGAGAGTGCTTCTGGGAGTCAGCTCAATAGCTCAACTCAGCGCTGAGTTACCCATCTCTACTTCACGCGATACTTTTTCCAAATTTTTACTGGATGGCGTTCGATAACGACAAAAAATTATCCAACACATAAAAATTGAGAGAGCAAGCGTTCATTTTGATGCAAGAGGAGCGTTCATTTTGTACTGGAAAAATTTTACTCAGCAAAAATTATCCAACACGAAAACATATCATCACAAAACATATGGTTGCAATTTTTGTAAACAAACAAAATTGCATTTTTCGAGTTTTGGTATTTATATGCTTTCTGGCTGCCTGCTATGCGACTTTATGATAGCGCCAACTAGGTTTTACTTCTAGAAATGTTCCTGGCGAACATTGAACGTTCCCTTTCCTTTTTTCTTCCATGGAGGCAACATGAATTTCAGTTTGTTTACAAATAAAACATCAACGAAGTCAGCTGGTATGAGAATTTTCGCTTAAAGTGTGTTTGCATTGTTCAACTTTGCGTTCAANTTCAACTTTGCGTTCAACATTTCCGTTCAACTCAGCGCAGGGTTGCACGAAAAAAAAGTTGAATGGCTAAAAATATCAAAATATGAAAAAATATCAAAATATTCGCCATAAAAAGGTGTTTGCATTGTTCAACTTTGCATTCAACTTTTGGTTGAATGGCCTTTCAACTAATCGCTTTCAACAAAGTTGGTCGCCAGCCAACATTTAGCCATTCAACTTTTTTTTCTTGCAACCCTGCGTTGAGTTGAACGCAATTGTTGAACGCAAAGTTGAAAAATGCAAACACTGCGTTACTCTCTTTATTTTGATTGTTGGCTGGTGTTGGCTAATTTTGTTATCGAACGCAACTTATATCTGCGTTTATTTATCGACTTTAAATCAATTATAGTGGCGTTCCCTAACTCGCAAGATGTTGCAAGAATTTACAGGAATTTACCAGAAAGCGTTCCCGTACACGGTTCTCTGACTTCTTTTGCCTTTTGACAGTTTTACTGGTTTTACCCAAAAAAAGTTGGGGAACGCAACTTATATAGGAGATTTTTACAATATCTCTGATCCAGTACTCCATGAACTTACAGGATTTTACACGAACTTGCCGGAAGTTGCAGGAAACATGTTCTCGTACTCCAAAATCCTGTAAATGCGAGCGACTTTTGGAGAGTTGTGTAGAGAATGAAGTTGCAAGATTTTACCCGAACTTCTTCTTCTGGTAAAATCATGAGAAGTGTCAAGCAATCACTGGTTGACGTTTTTACAAAAAAAAATGGATTTTTTGTTCCCGTACTTTTTGTTGTTACTCACTTTTTACTCTCACTTCAGAGAGTAATTTTGCTGTTTGACAGTTTTACAGGATTTTTCACGAAAAGCATTGGATCAGAGCTAATAAAAGTCTATCTACAAACATCAGTGTTGTTGTTGTTGTTGTTGTAGCGGCTACAACAACCCCGCCCAGGACGGTTGGTATCTCAATCCTTGTCGTCAAGGCCAGTCGGTAAGCTGACGGGTCCAGAGGTTGCTTGATGAACCTCTGGACTTCGTCCGTCAGTTCATATAGATGCCTCCTGACGTGCCTAGGCGAGGGCTCCTCTGCAAGCAGCTGTCTGTTTGGGTGGCCACTTCTGTGGCTCCCGATCAGGAACTGCTTGCAGAGCATTATGTAGTGCTCCTTTATGGGGAGCATTTGCGCCTCGCCGTGGAGATGGTGTTCGGGTGACATCAGTAGGCATCCTGTCGATGTCCTGATTGCGGTGTTCTGTACAGTCTGTAGCTTCGTCCACTGCGTCCTACTAGTCCCCGGCGTAGTTTAAAACTGGCCGGCCTATTGCCTTGTATGTTGCCAGCAACGTTTCTTTGTCTTTGCCCCAAGTACTGCCGGCTAGCGACTTGAGGACCTTGTTGCGGCTCTGTACTTTATTGACAATAGCGGTTGAGTGCGCAGAGAAGGAGAGCAGGCTGTCGAATGTTACTCCGAGTATTTTGGGGTTATTCACCGTCGGAATTGGTGTGTCATCGACGTGAATCCCCAGCGGTAGCCTGACCTCCTTCGTCCAGGTTGTGAACAGGGTCGCGGAGGATTTCGTAGGGGAGAGGGCTAGACACTTTGCAGTGAAGAAGCGAGA